GGGCCGGGCGTATCATGTGCATGGATGTTGGGCGAAGAGGGGCGGGTTGTACCTTGAGCATGGAGTTTTGGTGGACGAGAGTGGGTCGTACATTGTCCATGGAGTTTGGGTAGGCGGGGGGGACCTTGAGCATGGGGATTGCGTGTGTGAAGGAGGATCTATCTTATGCATGGTGATTGGGGTGGGGGCTGGGCGTACCTTGAGCATGGATATTTGGTGGACGAGGGTGGGTCGCACATTGTGCATGGGGATTGTGTGTGAGGGAAGGTCGTATCTTATGCATGGTGATTGAGGGGTTGGGCGTACCTCGTGCATGTCGGGCGATCCGAAGAGGAAGTGCGCGGCGTAGGGCGGCGGGGCGGCGCCTGGGGGCGCGTCCACCAGCGCCTCCATCTGGAGACGCGTCAGCGCCAGCGACAAAAGAGGTGTCTGCGACAGGTTGACGCGCGCCGCCAGCGTGCCCGTCACGTGCACGTCGTCGATCCAGAAGTAGGGCACGCGCTGCGCCTCGCGGTACAGCAGGAACACGGCGTCGGGCGAGTACAGCACCGCCCAGCCCACGCAGAAAGGCGGATACAGCCGACTGGGAAACTCCTTCGGCCCCACGCGCCACCTGCGGGACGGCCAGGCACCTTATGTTAAGCCTGATTTACACGGTCATTTTTTCATCCTTTTTTCATCATTTTTCTGTACAGAGGGTGGATGGAAAAAGGAGGTTCGTTTCTATGCGTTATGTTTCGGTGCCGAAACTGGATGAAAGTGGCTCCTGTGTTTTACACAGTCATTTCTGGTCTTTGTACGTAATCGTGATGAAAATACTTCCTCCGGACGCCGTGAAAAGAGCTGAAGGTTAAACATTTGAACATCGCATCTATGGTAATACATTAAGTTAGGTTGTATTAGGAGAGAGCAAGTGATGTGACATTAGAACACAATACATAATTTATTTCCTACTACATAATAACTCCACATTCCTCCACCAAGCAACTTAGAAACCTGTTCAAAAAACAAGTATCTTAATGGTAATGTGAAAGGCAATTTGCAACATTCTGGCAGCATTATTAAATCTATAAAGTTAAATAACTAAAGAAAACGTTCTTGGGCATTAAAACCTGAACGTTTGAGGCAAATACATTCATCGTCACATAAACTACGGGATGACAACTTCTGGAACATTCTGTATTACAATTTTGCCAGATCGGTGCTTCCTGATAGGTATCATGTAGTGACGCAGTTCCGTGTTAAATGCCTAATGACGACGTATTAATCAGTACATTAAATACAGCTTCGTTCTGCTAAATATGACTCCAAAAAAGGTTTAGATATATTGTAATTTCCTCTCAGGTATAACTAAATATACAAGTGAAATATAATTTTTAAACTTTTTAAGAAAAGAAATAATTTAAATCTAATGATTGTTGTCTATTGAAATTGAATAATGTCATGAGAAATAACAACTTTTCATTAAAATGCCTAGAAATCGCTAATTTAAATAAGTACAAAATTTACACAAATGAAAAACGAGATTCTGATTACATGCAGAAGGGCTTATTGAGAGAATAAAATTTGTACCCAGACGGGCCAATAATAACCAGAAAAGTACTGATTGTTCGTATTTTATTTCTCTCACATTCGGGAGAAACCTCACGTCATCCGAGAAACCTCATATCACTCCGCCTCTCATCCTTCCACTCTCCTATGTACAGTACGCCAATGAGGACCCCGATCCTCAAAATCGCAGAACGTAATTTCTCCACTAGCAGGTATGATCCAGCTTGCTTACGGTTTTTTTGGTAAAATTCTAATAGATTTACAATTTAGAGTATTGTGAACACACGCTCCAAAGCAACCACTCGACGCGAGTACAGCCAGGAGTCTGTCCCAGGAGTTCTGTCAGCTGGTCGGCGTTGACAACTGAACGCCAATAACGTTCGGCGAGCGTTCGCTATGTCCACCACCATTTGATAACATGGCGGAATGAAGCTGCTGAGTGACGTCATGGCAACCAGTGTGCATCGTATGTGTACCCTAAGGGGAGACGATAAAATAAGAAAGAGGAAGGAGAGATCGCGTACGGTTTGTGGCCCGATTGTTGGGGTAATGATCCGGCATTTGCCGGTTGTTGATCAAAGAAACCACGCAAAACTACCGATCAGAGGTTTCTCTTCCAGACAGCATCGGCTGGATTCTTCCCAGCTTCTCAGCTAATGTCGAAAATACTTCCATCGCACCGTCTGGTCTCAAACTCTGGGACCTCCCGGCCAGAGGCGCTGCAGAGGCAACGGCATTGCCGAGTCCGGGCGGATCCGGATGGTCCATCGCGCACGCATGGGTTACCTGTCGAACTCACTTGGAGCGCCAGGAGCGCTTGACGTAGCTGTATGGCAAGGCCACGCAGAGGATGAGGCGGCGGGCGCCCCAGGGCGACAGCTCGCGCGCCAGGAAGCGCAGCAGCTCGGGCGAGTTGACGAAGACGTCGTCGTCCGTCTTGAGCACGTAAAGTGCTCCGGGGCAGTGGTACGCGGCCCATTTGAGCGTCATCACGTGCTTGTACGTCATGTTGCGGTACGAGTCGCGGAAGGAGCCCTGCGGCACACCACCAGAGACACTAACTGGTAAAAGCATTTGGATAGCCTTGCAAATAAAACCAAGATACAATTTTATCCTTGTCCTTGTATTTTATCCTTTAAGATTTGTTAATCTGAAAAATCGGCGACTGGACTTCCAATTCAAGAAAACAAGATAAGATATAACTATCCATAATTGTACAATACAATTTCCTTATTTTTGGACAGATTTATAATAAATGTCTAGTTCCGAATGTTGCCTAATTAAACTATTGTAACATGGAGACGGTACGTTCAGAAGGGTCAAGTTCAAAAGTAATATTAAGCAATAAATGAGAAATTAAAGCATTATTTTTCATTTCAGCATTGACAGCCCGATTTCGGAGCGGCAGCGCGCCTTCTGCTCATGGCGCGTTGTCATACGTGGGTACCGCATTCGAGAAACGTTTGTAATAACGTTTTTGGAATGGAGAATTTTTCCTTCCGTGTCCTTCTTTCGTTATTAGTGGTTTTAAGTTTACACACTTATTTGCAATTAACCTATAGAAAACCAAATATTTTAAAATATATTTGGATTTAAGGTGAAATGTCCCTAAACAATTGTAATAATTGTGCCCATTAATCAATCGGGAAATAATGAACAGGGAACTAGGGAAATCCTCCACGGTCCCTTACAATCATTGCTTTTGCAACACCCTTAAATTTAACTCACCCACTGCCATTGGTTATTGGTTATTAGAATTTTTGAAAATTATCAGTGCAAAATTCATTTCAAAATTGTTATTTTGAAATTGATTTAATAGGCGTTATTTTTATTTCATGTTAATCACTAGAGTTTGTTATCTAAAGATTTATTTAAGAGAACCCAAAAGGTTTAAACGTCGTATGGCAATTTAATAAAGTGGTTAAATTGTTTATATTTTAATACATTTAAATTTTCTTTATCCCCGTTCTCAGAGCGGTTCAGATTTGAAAAAAAAACGTTCATAGCAAAAGTTTCAATATTTGGATTTGGAGAGTGTCAAACTAAATAGCAGACAGGATGAAATGCAAACGTGATCAGACATTGCGTTATCCTTTCACGTGTTTTGCTAATGTGATTCGTGCTAATCTCCCTTTATTGCGTTTTTGCACGTAATGATTGATATGTATATATTGTCGATGGTTATCCCCAAACTCAAAGGATTCACGTTTTCGTCCTCCTATAATTGAAAATACAAATTATATGTTTAAAGTTCAAAAAATATTCTGTGATAAATCCCGCTTATATTTCAACACGGTTGAATTAACAATTCAACAAATCGGCTTAAATTTTCAACTGAAGGAGTAAGAGTGGGGAGTTAAAAATATATTTTTAATAAGCACAGTGAAGATCCTGTTCATAAAACAATTGCTCATGGCGTAACATAATATGACTCATATCGCGTTATGAAATTTGACACACCATAAACGAAACTTACACAAAATGTAACATAAAAATTATTTAACCAGTACCTAACAAAATTTTTCAACAATTACATTACGGCCGTGTATAACAGATCAAATTAATCATATTACAGAAAGAAATCCGTCGAAAGAAAGTTCGTCGTTCGTCGATCGACGTTCGTCGATCGTCGTTCATCCATTGTCGTTCACCGGTCGACGTTCGCCATTCGTCGATCGTCGGTCGTCATTCGTCGTTCGCCGTTCGTCGATCGTCGTTTTTCGTTCGTCATTCGTCGTTCCTTGTTCTACGTTTCTCGTTCGTCGATCGTCTTACCTCGTTTTTACGTTTTCCTTTTTACGATTTCGTTTTTACGTTTCCATTTTTACATTTTCGTTTTTTCGTTTTCGAGTTTACATTTCCGTTTTTACGTTTTAGTGTTTACGTTATCGTTTTAACGTTTTAGTTTTGACGTTTTCGTTTTTCGTTTTCATTTGGACGTTTTCGGTTTAACTTTTTGTTTTTTCGTTTTTCTATTTTCGTTTTCGTTCTTATATTTTCGTTTTTTAGTTTTGTTTTTACACTTTCGTTTTTTCCGTCGTCGTTTTTACGATTTCGTTTCTACGTTTTCGTCTTTATGTTTTAATTTTGACGTTTTAGAATTTCGTTTTTACGTATTGTTTTTGGTTTACGTTTTTTCTTTTTCCTTTTCTCGTTTTAAAGTTTTGTTCTTAAGTTTTCGTTTTTATTTTTTCGTTTTTACATTGTCGCTTGTACGTTTCCACTTTTCGGATTTCGTGTTACGTTTTTGTTTTGTATGTTTTCGTTTTGGATTTAACGATTTAGTTTTTACGTTTTCGTTCTTTCATTTTCGTTTTATGTTTGTGTTGTGTTGTGTTTGTGTTATGTTCATTTTTTCGTTTTAGTTTTCACGTTTTCGGTTTGACAATTTCGTATTTACATTTTCGTTTTTTACATTTTCATTTTAATGTTTTCCTTTTGATGTTTCTGATTTTAGGTATTCTCTCTTAAGTTTTGATTCATTGTTTTTTAGTTTTGTCATTTACGATTTCGTTTTTATGTTTTGGTTTTTACGTTTTGGTTTTTACGTTTTCGTGTTTACGGTTTCGTTCTTACGTTTTCGATTGTTCGTTTGCTTTTCTTCGTTTGCTTTTTTTCTTTTTCATTTTTCGTGTTCGTTTTTACGTTTATGCTTTTACGTTTCAGTTTTGACGATTTGGGTTTGATTTTTTCATTTTTCATTTTTTGTTTTTACATTTTGGATTCAACATTATAATTTTTCTTTTCGTTTTTACTTTTTTGTTTTTAAGTTGTCGTTTACACGATTGCGTTTTTACGTTTTCGTTTTTAGGATTTTGTTTTTACGTTTTCAATTTTTAATTTTCGTTTTCCATCTTCGTTTCCATTTTTACATTTTTGTTCTCAATTTTTCGTTTTCGTTTTTACGTTTTTGTTTTAACGATTTCGTAATTGTTTCGTATTTTGTCTAATGTCTTTCGTCGATTGTCGTCAGTTGTTTGTCGTTCGTCGATCGTCGTTCTTCGTATGTCGTTCGTCGTTCAACGTTCTTCGTTCGTCGTTAATTGTTTGTCATTCGTCGATGGTCGTTCGTAAGTTGTCGTTCGTGGATTGTCGATAATTGTTCGTTGTTTGTCGGTTGACGTTCGTCTTTCGTCGATCGTCGTTTGTCTTTTGTTATTCGTCGCCAGTGGTTTTCCGTTCTTCGTTCGTTGATCGTCGTTTGCCATCCTCGTACATCAATCGTCGGTCGCCGTAAGTCGCTCGTCGTTCGTTTTTATTTTTCGATTTTTTGTTTTTCCATTTTTTTATATATTACGAATTTTTCGATTTTTCCATTTGTTTCGAAATTCTATATATCACATTCACATATTTTTTAAGTTGTTATATTTTCCAAATTTTTATACTTTTCTTTTTTCGAATTTTTAGATTATTCGTTTTGTTCCCTTTTTTGTTTTTTTTATAGTTTTAAAATTTTTATATTTTTTTAAATTTTATATTCTTCAAATATTTGTTTTTTTGATTTTTTTAACTTATAGATTTTCGGGCGTCGTTTGTTTTCTTCTGTAGTCGTTTGTCTTGTTTGCCCTTCTCACGTCGCTCTTATCATGTCACTTGTTCGTCGTTTGTCTTTCGTCATTCGTCTGTTATCGTTCATCGTTCGTCGTCTCAATTCGCTCAGATCACGTCGATTGGCGCTTTTCGATGTTTAGTCGCTCAATTATTAGCGTTTGTCAGTTGTCGTTCGTCCTTCGTTTGTCGCTGTTCGCACGTCGTTTGTCGTCCGACACTGTTCGCGCGTCGTTCGTCTCTCGACGGCTGTTGCTCATCGTTCGGTTCTGGTCGGTAGTCGTTTAATTTTTTCATTTTTAGTATAATTATGCATTTATTTTTTGAAAATTTTATCTTTTTTAATTTTTATATTTTTCGATTTTTATATTTTTTGAATTTTTATATTTATCGATTTTTATATTTTTTTTAAATTTTCAATTTTTTTATTTTATCTTTTTTGAATTTTTTGTTTTTTATATTTTTGAAAATTTATGTTTTTTGATAAATTATATTTTTCGAATTTTTTTATTTTTTTAATTTTCATATTTCATGAATTTTTTTTGTTTTTTTACTTATATTTTTTCAGGGGGCGTTTGTTCTGTAGTCGCTTGTTTTGTTTGCTCTATACTCGTCGCTCTTTGCACGTCACTCGTTCGTCGTTTGTCTTTCGTCATTCGTCGATCGTCTGTTATCGTTCATCGTTCGTCGTTTCAATTCGCTCAGCTCACGTTGTCGATTGGCGCTTTTCGATGTTTCGTCGCTCAATGAATAGCGTTTGTCAGTTGTCGTTCGTCTTTCATTTCTCGCTGTTCGCACGTCGTTTGTCGTCCGACGCTGTTCGTGCGTCGTTCGTCTCTCGACGGCTGTAGCTCATCGTTCGGTTCCCGTCGGCATCGTTAATTTTTTTCATTTTTATTATAATTTTGCAATTTTATTTTTTCAAAATTTTATACTTTTTTATTTTTATATTTTTCAATTTTTATATTTTTTGAATTTATATTATTTTTAATTTTGATATTTTTGAATTTTTATATTTTTCGATTTTTCGATTTTTTAAATTTTTGTTTTTTGATTTTTATATTTTTCAAAATTTTATATCTTTTGGTTTTTTATATTTTTGAATATTTATATTTTTTGATATTTCATATTTTTTGAATTTTTTAATTTTTATATTTTTTGAATTTTTGTTTTTTTGATTTTTTTACTTAAATTTTTTCGTGCGCCGTTTGTTGCCATCTGTAGTCGCTTGTCTTGTTTGCTCTTTACTCGTCGCTCTTTGCACGTCACTCGTTCGTCGTTTGTCTTTCGTCATTCGTCGATCGTCTGTTATCGTTCATCGTTCGTCGTTTCAATTCGCTCAGCTCACGTTGTCGATTGGCGCTTTTCGATGTTTCGTCGCTCAATGAATAGCGTTTGTCAGTTGTCGTTCGTCTTTCGTTTCTCGCTGTTGGCACGTCGAATTTCGTCCGACGCTGTTCGCGTGTCGTTCGTCTCTCGACGGCTGTTGCTCATCGTTCGGTTCTGATCGGTAGTCGTTTTTTTCATTCATATTTTAATTTTGCATTTTTATTTCTTCAAAATTTTTCCTTTTTTAATTTTTGTATTTTTCGATTTTTAAATTTTTTGAATTATTATATTTTTCGATTTTTATATTTTTTGAATGTTTATATTTTTCGATTTTTATATTTTTTGAATTTTTATATTTTTCGATTTTTATATTTTGTAAGTTTTATATTTTTCGATTTTTTGAATTTTTGTTTTTTGATTTTTATATTTTTGAAAATTTATATTTTTAGATATTTTATATTTTTCGAATATTAATTTTTTTGAATTTTTATTTATTTTGAAATTATATATTTTTTGGTTTTTTATATTTTCAAAATTTCGTATAAGGTGAAAAGTAAAAAATATATGAATTCAAAATATAAAGAATTAAAAAATATAAAAATCAAAAAATATAAAAATCAAAAAATAAAAATTTGAAAATAAAAAAATATAAAAATATAAAAAATTTTAAAAAACAAAAAAAATAAAAAATGTTAAAATAAAAAAATCAAAAATGATAAAAATCGAAAAATATAAAAATGAATATATATAAAAGTTTTAAAAATATAAAAATGAAAAATTGAAAAAATATAAAATACGAAAAAACAACATAAATGACTACCGACGAAAACCAAACGTCGAGCGACGACCGTCGAGAGGCGAACGACGAGCGAACAGCGTCGGTCGACAAACAGTGTTCGACTAGCGACAAACGAAGGACGAACGACAAAACACAAACCCAATCATTAAACGACAAAATATCTAAAAGCGACGAGAGTTTAGCTATGTGATACGATGAACGACGAACGATGAACGATTACAAACGATCGACGAACGTCGAAAGACAAATGACGAACGAGTGACGTGCTAAGAGCAACATGAGGCGTGAAAATATGACAAACGAAGACATGTGAAAAACACCAACAAAACAAAAATTGGAAAAATATAAAAATTTTAAAAAATTCGAAAAATATTAAAATTTAAAAAATATAAAAATTCAAAAATATAAAAAATCAAAAAATATAAGAATTAAAAAATATAAAAATAAAAAATATAAAAATTAAAAAATATAAAAATCGAAATATATAAAAATTAAAAAGTATGAAATTTTGTAATAGTAAAGATGCAAAATTGTAATAAAATGAAAAAAACTAACGACTACCGACAAGAACTGATCGATGAGCAACAGCAGTCGAGAGACGAACGACGCGAGAACAGCGTCGGTCGACAAACGATGTGCGTAAAGCGACAAACGAAGGACAAACGACGACTGACAATCGCTATTTTTTGAGCGAAGAAACATCGAAAAGCGCCAATCGACAACGTAGCTGAGCGAATTGAAACGATGAACGATAACAGATGATCGACGAATGACGAAAGAAAACGACGGACTAGTGACGTGCTATGAGCGACGTGAGAAGGGCAAACAATGACAAACGACTACAGAAGAAAACAAACGACCCCCGAAAAAATATAACATGAAAAAGCAAAAAAATCGTAAATTATGAACAAAAAATATAAAATTTAAAAATTTTAAAAAATAAAAAAATTTAAAAATTCAAAAAATATAAAAATCAAAATATATAAAAATCAAAAAATATAATAATTAAAAAAATAAAAATTCAAAAATGATAAAAATCAAAAAATATTAGAATTAAAAAATATAAAAATTTTAAAATTATAAAAATGAAAAATTGAAAAAATTAAAAAATATAAAATAGGAAAAACAACACAAATGACTACCGACGAAAACCAAACGAGGAGCGACGGCCGTCGAGAGGCGAACGACGAGCGAACAGCCTCGGTCGACAAACAACGTACGACCAGCGGCAAAAGAAGGACGAACGACAAAAGACAAACGCTATTCATTGAGCGCCGAAATATCTAAAACCGCCGAGAGACGAGAGCTTAGCGATATACGACGAACGACGAACGATGAACTAACACAGACGAACGACGAACGAGTGACGTGCTAAGAGCGACAGGAGACGCAACAAACGGCAAACGAAGACAGGTGAAAACAAGCGACGCCCGAAAACCATAAGTAAAAAAATCAAAAAAACAAAAATTCGAAAAATATAAAATTTTAAAAACATATAAAAATTCGCAAAAAAATCGAAGAATATAAAAATTAAAAATGTATAATTTGGAAAATGAAAAAATTCAAAATTATAAAAAAGGAAAAAAACAACATAAACGACTACCGCAAATCCCGGAACGATGAGCGACAGCCGTCGAGAGACGAAGGACGCGCGAACAGCGTCGGTCGACAAACGACTTACAAACGGAGGACGAACGACGAGAGATAAACTCTATTCATTGAGCGACGAAAGACCGAAAAGCCCCGAGCGACAACGAGAGCTAAGCGACGTGAAACGACGAACGACGAACGACGTCTCTAGTAGACGATAGATGAACGACGAAAGACAAACGACGAACGAGTGACGTGCTAAGACAGACAAGCGACGAGCGAACAGAGACAAACGGCAAACAACGAAAAGTGAAAACAAACGACGCCCGAAATGTAATAAGTAGAAAAATAAAGAAAAACAAAAATTCGAAAATTAAAAAATTATAAAAATTTAAAAAATAAAAAATTTGTAAATATAAAAATTCGAAAATTTAAAATTTCAAAAATATAAAAAATTGAAAAGTATATAAATTCAAAAAGCATAAGAATTCGATAAAAATAAGAGTTCGAAAAATATAAAAATTCCAAAAATCAAAAATCAAAAAAATTTAATTTTAAAAAATATAAAAATTCGAAAAATGTAAAAATTTGTAAAATATAAAAAATTGAAATAAATAAATTTTGAAATATATAAAAATTTAAAAAATATAGAATTGAAAAATAAGAAAATAGGAAAATATTGGACGACGAAAGACGAGCGCCGAATCAGGATCGATGAGCATCGAGATACGAATGACGAGCGACGAGAGTTGGGCGGCGAACGACTCACTACGAACGACAAACTACAAAAGACGGACGACGAGTCGAGTGCTGATCGTCGACCGAAAAAAACGATCGCCGATCGCCGAGCCACAACGACCTGAGTTGAGCAACGTGAAACAATGTACGACGAACGAAAGACGACTAGGACTAGAGACGATAGACGAACGATGGAAAACGACAAACAAAATGTGGAAAAAACGAAAGATAAAATTAAAAAATATAATAATTCGAAAATAAATTTTCGAAAAATAAAAAAATTCGAAAGCATAAGCATTTGAAAAGTATAAACGTACATAGAACGCCGAAAGACGAAATTCGAATGACGAACGACGTGCTAAGAGCGACAAATGACGAGCGACGAGAGACTAACGACGTACGACTAACGACGAAAAATGAAAAAGAACGACTCCCGAAATAAAATAAGTGGAAAAATAAAAAAAACAAATATTCGAAAAATATAAAATTTTGAAAAATTCAAATAATCAAAAAATATAAAGATTCAAAAATTATAAAATTCGAAAAATATAAAAATTTGAAAAATATAAACAAACGACGAGTGCCTAACGAGGAACAACGAGCGTTGAGAGACGAACGACGAGACAAACGACGTACGATTTGGGACAAACGACAAAGAACGATTCATTCATTGTCACTCATCATTCAGTCAGCCATTCATCATTCATTGCTTTCATTCAGTCAGTTATTTACTCACATTGTCATCACTCATTTTTTCAGACATTCATTGAATCATTGTCATTCGATCATTTATTGTCATTCACTCATTCATTGTCATTAATTTAGTCATTCGATGTCATTCACTCATTTATTGTCATTCAATCATCATTGACTTTTATTGATTGCATTAATTGTCATTAATTGTCATTAATTTTTCATTGTCATTCATTATTTGTCATTTTTTCATTTTCATTTATCATCACCATTCATTCATAGTCACTCTTTATTTTCATTTACTCATCCTCATTCATTGATGAATTGAAATTCATTCATTTTCATTCATCATTAAATTTCATTTATAATTCCTTTTCATTTATCGTTCATTTTCGTCCATTCACTCATTCTCATTTATTAATTTTCGTTAATTCAAATTCATTTATTCGCATTCATTCATCTGTTCGTTTTCATTCATCAATATCATCCATTCATTTTCGTTCATTCCTTTTCATCATTCAATACTATACGACAGGCCCCAAGATTTTTTTTCATTCAATTCCATTCATTCAATTTCATCATTCAATTCCATTTCATTGTATTTCAATTACATTTTATTCAATTTCAGTCCTTTTCAATTCCATTCTATCCACTTCATTATTTCATTTCACTTCATTCTTTCATTCCACTTCATTATTTCATTCCATATCATTCTTTCGTTTCATTTCATCTCTCACTCCATTTCTTTCGTTCATTTCACTTCATTATTTTATTTCACTTCATTATTTCATTCCACTTCATTCTTTCATTACACTTCATATTTCATTCCATTTTGTTCTTTAATTCCAATGCATTTTTCTATAATTCCATACCTGCACGAGGTCGCCGTGCAGCTGGTTCTCGCGGTCGAGCGCGCGCTGCGTGGCCCGCGTCGTCGACGGCGCCCAGCATGAACAGCACCCGCAGGCGCCCGTCCAAGGCCGGGCGCCGGGCTGGCGTCGGCGGCGGGCGACGCCACGTGTTCGCGGATGTGCGCGCGCTGTCCGCGTTGGACCCCGGCCGCGCACTGATACATGTGACTGCTGACCCAGCACCAGCCAGCAGCGGCGCGGGCGTCGCCCCGGCTGCCAGCCACGCGCTGCGCCGCGTCGGGCCCCGTGCGCGCGAAGGAGAAAGGGCCGCACGTCGTATGAGTCGTGTCGCGGTCGTCTCGCCAGGCTAGTAGGCTGCAGCCGGAGTAGGCGGCGTGCAGCGCCGACCGTTGCTCCCAGGCAGCAAGCGCAGGTACGTCGGCGCTCGGCAGCCCGACTCGCAACCACACGCTCCAAACTTGCACTGCATTCGATGCCGCCAAACTCCCAATCCAGAAGTACTACATAAGGAGTCACAAGCAGTAGTGTAAGAGGTGCGGGTCCGCCCGCAAAACATTTATCCGGGCTCCCTTTATAAAATTATAAGCAACTATAGTACGAGTATAATAATAAACATATTCCCTAAAAGCGAGTCCTTTTTACCCGGGCCCGCCCGCATTTCGTGCCCGAACGTTACCCCACTGATAACAACAAGATGTCTCAGAACGTTACAAACAACTGGGTGATATGAAGGTGGTGGAAGATGATACCATTTTCTGTATGAACATGTGCGAAATTTCGTATACCGAATTTACACACATGTTTGCACCTGATTGGTAGGCATCTCATCATTCACAGGTGTTTGACGAGTCAAGTTCGAACACATGTCAAAGCGATTTCATGTTAACTTCAAACCCCAATGAATAATAAAATGTCAACCAGTAAAGAATTAATTCCACTCGATTAATTTAATCTTATGGAATTCGTTTCGTTTTACGAAAATATGAAAAAGTTATCTTCGACTCCTATTCTAGGAGTTTGTTATATTAATTTTGGGGTCATTACACAAATGTGCTAAGAAGAAAAGTAACCATTCCGTAATGCGTAGTACTAATATGTAGGGCGGGGCCAGACGAGGCCTTTGGCCACAAGGCGAGAGTAGGGCCAGCCAGCCAGGAACGGGTCAGAGCGTCGCGAGGCGGGGTGGCGCATGGGGCAACATGTATGTCCAGGCGGTGTTGGTTGGTGCGAAGCAATGCCGGCAGTAGAGAAGCGGCAAACCTCAATATGGCTTTTCTTCGATCTATATGACAGCATCGTCGCAAAATGTTCCTATGTTCAACGGTATTATCTACAGACCTGCATCAAACAGATTTAAGAAGAAGAAAAAAATAGAGAAATAAATAGATTCTTCTACAAAGAATCATCAGACGCAAATGGAACTCGCGCCAGCCGAACTCAAAGGTCTCGGACTCGAGCCACCACGGACGAAAGCGTTTGAAGGAAGTTTGTAGTCAAAGGCAGTCTGTGGAAGGAGTAGGAGGCTTTGGAATTCCTCACAGAACTTCTACAAACCTTGAAAACTATAGTCCATTTCATGTATTTCTTTTTAAAGAAGGTTTAGTAAACGGGTTGTTAAATATCATTCTTACAACGACCTTCTCTTTAAAGAACCAAATCATTTTAAAGATCCTTTTGCTAACGACGGAATAAACAGGACATTTTTCTGGCAATCCGCCGCTTATCTAATAATGCAACCACGCTCAATGAATGGCGTGTTTCATTGTTTTGGTGAGAGCATTGTCAAGACGACGTAAATAAACTGGCTTTGTAATGGCGTCTATTGTATAACATAAGTTGGAAAAAGTTACTACCCGTTTATTTGAACTCGTATTTTTCGGTTCATGATAATCGAGATATATCGCTTAGAATTATTTTGGAAATCATGAAGAATGCAACGATACTTTATAGTGTATGACATTTTTTCCACAAATACGTGCTCTGTAATGGAACGAAGAAACCTCCGTTTATACTCTCCGAGAGCATTACCATAAATTTTGTTTCGGACATACTGTTAAAAAATGAGTTGTGCACTCTAAGAAATAATATAGCAAACATGGTTTGTTTCCTTAATATTTCACGGATTATACGGATTGCGTTATACTTAAATAGTGAAAGAAATATGTAAACATCTTGCAATTAAAGATACTTTTGTTACAAGAAGGGCTTGCAGTTCTTGTAATTTTGTGTGAAATTGGCAGTGTTGAGGGCGGGAGCTTACGACTTGATGCTCGATTAAGAATTGCATAAATTAAAGATGTGCATAATTCGATATTAACTTGTTTGTAATCTTGCACTTACGATGTAAACAACTTAAGTTGTAAATCTTGCTTATTTTGTAGTACATCAAAAGTATAGTGTTCTAACCTATCTAACAAAGGAACCTCAATCAAATAAAAATGGTTTCGTACAGAAATGCAATATTAACAAAAAAATATTTACTCATGGAGAAATAAATCAGCGTCATTACGATGATAACATAAGCGCCCAAAGTATATAGTGATATCTTCTTTTCAAAACTCATCATATATCATATAAAATAAACTTCGACGGAATGGAGCGAGGTTTTATATCACTGGATTCTCTAATATTGAGTTTCCCAGCGACGGCAGGAATTGACACGTCTTGTTACTTACTTTTTTGCTTTGAAAACAAAATAACATCAACACTTCTAGGCCCATTTCAATTTGAAATGGAATCTGAATTTGAATCTAGAAACAGAAAACAAATGTTCTAATTGTCTCGTAGGGTAAATAACAAAATACAAAACAACAAATAGTATAACAATTTATTATACACTACACATTTTATTATTTATGTCTTTGTTATACTTACTACTCACGAGATTTAAGTTTAATAATGACATATTTTACTTCATTGACAAAACTTACCCAAAGTAAGCTCTTACGAAAGTAGACTTAGATAAGTTACAATAGAAACCATGCTTTTCACAGTTGGAAGAATTGTGTCTGCCAACATTTCATTGTTTTTCGTAATGTCAGTTGTTTCGTAAGCGGAAAGTAGCAACAGTTTGTGCGATTTCGTGAGTGCAGCAGCTTATCGTGATGACTTAATAAATCCATTTGACCATGATTTTTATTTACTCAATTAGTAATTAAACTTTAACTATGGGATTATTTCGTATCAAATCACCCCAAGATTTGGCTTATCAAACCTTATCCCCAATTTCTTTGTAAATTGTTATAAAATTAGCAAAAGCAAAGTAACATTGTAATATGTAGTTTTCTATTTCTCTGTCTAGAATTTTTTGAGAAATAGGGAGATATGAATATACTTCTTTAACCTTCAATAACTCAAAAATATGTATAAGTCACAAAATAATTAAAACATTATTGGAACAGATGGTCCCAAGTTGAGTGTGTGGTTGATTTCACATGGAATAATCCTGTAATCCAATATACACATCACAATGTTAGCGTGGAGGAATATAGGTTAAGAGATGAAAGTCGTGTGGCACCATCTACAATAATGTACAATAGTTAACCGAGAACACTGTACTATACGGCAAGAATGGGTAGCTTCTTGAGCGTTGAAGTAGCAGGCTCAGATGCACGGTAATCAATCTACTATTTGGACATCCAAACTTCGTTAACTTCCATAATATCACATATTCAGCTAAATGTGCGCTTATTTAAAAATAACAAAATAACTTGGATTGGGAAGGATCCGTTGGCAATTATAAAAAACAAACATTTTTGTGAATAGTATTCATAAAATATATGCTGAAACAAAACAGGATCAGAAGAATAATCTGAAATTGTAAACATTAAATTATGGATTGCACACATTACATTATTGAAACAACTCTTGAAATACGAGTACTATTATACTGTGTTAATACAATTATAGTTTATTTACAACTCTTCAAGTTACAACACAGAACATTCATTTTTTTGTTGTACATTTAGCATAAATAATTTTAATAGACATAATAAAATGAGTTGCGCGTGAGATGTACTTTGTTTATTGAAACATTTTTGTCATTACTTTAAAATTACTAATACACTAAAAATAGACCCACAAAACGTTTCGAGAGAAGCACCCATTTTCCGGCATTCGAAATATTAAAAACGCTAGGAAATTGTAATGGAAATAATTTATTTACTCATAATATACGTACGTTCCTTGCAATTCCAAACAATATGGTACATTACAATAAAATATACTTTCAGACTATTACATTTAATTTAGGGTACGACAGGTATGGATGGTGCGAATAGTTAGAATTTAATGTAGTTCCCATTATGTAAGTTGTTTTGCTAATCTACCCAAAAATGCACATAAAATATCACCCGCAAGCATTTCTGCAGCGTTTTTCTCTAATAAGATCATTTTCAATTAGTTCCGATAATTCTGTCCCAAACTCTACATCTACATTTAATTCTTCCCCGGATTTGCTTTCCACTTCCATATTTTTGTCACCTTATTTTTGAAAATATTAAACTCCACAAACTCATTCCAATTTGTATTAACTTTTACTTTTGAAATTTCTCTATTAATCCTTTCGTATGCGAATATATGACGACTTTTTGCATGTGAATTTTGTATGTGTCTTTTTTATGTGAATAAGATAAGTTTAATAAGAATAAGTTGTTAGTCACATTCATGTGCAAATCGGTATTTGCACGCTTAAGGTTGAAGCTGAGAAGTCGAACGCAGTAAGTTAAATGTGTGTTCATTTTATAGTATTACTCACAGTTTGTTTTTCTCCGTATTCACTTGAAGTTCTTCAAATTTAATAAGTTTGCAACATTAAACCATGTTTTTGGAAATTTCTTAAAATCTTCTGGCCGGATCCAAACACAAATTATCAGTTTCCCGCCAGGAGACTGGGGCGCGTTGAACCTCATATGTGGTGCATGCGGTCTACCCGTGAGTGACACGGATCCGCACACACACGTACTCTTAGTTGCTCAAATACTATGTATGGATAGTTGAATGTGGCGTCGCCGACGCTGTAAACTGTTTTAAATGTGTTTTCATGTGTTGAAAATACATGTCATCCATCCTTCGTTCAAATTTATTTATTTATTTATTTACGTCAAAAACAGTTAAAAACTGTGTGTGACGTGCTATGGGGAGATGTTAATTTGAAGTTACATACAAATTACTACAAATAAGTTTACAGTATCTAGGATTGCACATACCAATGAATTGTAGTAGGAATTCATGTTTTACTCTTTTTCAAAAATTTCCAAATCTCAATCGCCTTGTCTGTTACCTCCACAGGGGATATGAATGGGTAATATTGCAATTTCAAAAAATATAAACGTAAAAATACTTGCAGGTACGAATGAAGCTAAATGGTTAGAATTTAATAATCATTAAATATTACACAAGTGTTTGATGTGAACTCTATTAATATAATGAACTAAAAGTGAATTTATAAATAAGCCAATTAACACAAGATTTAAAATGTAGCATTACCTCCACATACACTAAATGGGTCAGAGAAGTTATGAGTATTGTGCCAAAAAGTGTTTTAATGAATTATCAAATTAGTTAAAAACATTAAGTGTAAATAGAAAATTGCCTAAAAAGAAGATTAAAGAGAAAATTGAAAAAATTTTGTCACAGAATGAGCACAATTTAAAACGAGGTGAAATTGAGCTTTCATTTTCTATATAGTTTACATAATTTATTTCATTTAATAAAAAAAATGTAATCAGGAGGGTAAACCTATAGTATAGATAAAGTAAAAGTTAATTATTTTGTTGGACAAATCTATGTGTGCATCATATAGGCCTTTTACTACATTTTCATGGAAAAGTAATATTGGTAATAATAATAATAATAATAATAATAATATATTTATATTTATTATTATTATTACCAGCAATTCAAGAAAATATTTGTTGTTGTTAACCTGTTTCTTAATTTATTCCTTGGACTACTGAGCAATTTGCTGCAAAAGAATGATTACAGGACAAAAGTCAATATTTCAACTGATTTTGGAATCAGGTGTCCAATTTGCTGCTTCACAGGAGGAGGGCCCCCACTCAAATTATCTAGTCTTCAAATATCTGATTTTCAAGAGAAAGTCAGTTCATACATTACATGACCTAGGCTGTTTAGTTTTGTTGCATTTCTTTGCTAAAAAAAAAAATATCATTTCCGGACCCAATGTAAACATTTAATGCTAGGGGGCAAGTGAATACCTCTGAGTTTCACAGTCGAATTTTGATCATACCAATGTTCTTCCAGGAAGATAAGGAAAGTCTGTTAATGCAAAGAATTAAACAATAAACCACTTTCTTAACTGTCATCACATTACAAGAAATTAAACTGAAATGGCTAAACAAGAAATTAAACTGAAATGCTATGGTACCTCAGCCGTGATACCATAGCAGGTCTTTGTATGTTTGTACATGATTCTCAGAATTCCTCACCCTGCTGATTTTCTCAAAGAAAACTCAAGCAGTAGATTGTACAAATGCTGTGCTCATCAATTTTCACTTTGACTAGTGAAAATTTGGTGTACTGTATTCTTACAATTTTCCTAAAAGTGGTCTCTTAAAAAGGGATTAAGAAAATTTTTATTAATGAGCAGTTTGGTGTTCAAAGAAAGAGGCGGTTTGTTAACAGGGGAATGATTTACAATACATGCGATTTAGCGTCTGCTCCAAGAAAACCCTGTTGTTTAGAAGGGGTGGTTATTTAATAGCGATGGAATTTCACAGAGGTATCATATTATACTGCTGCAATAACAATTCAATCCCTAGTCATGATGATATTTTGTTTTTAAACAGTTACTGCAGCTTCCAAAGGAGTTAAGAGTTACTTTCGAATCTTCCATTAGCCATTCTAAAACTAATGGCAACCAGTTCACCTGACATGTAAGAAATAAATAAAAGAAACAAATATTTCAATAAGGCCAACTTTATTCACCTAAGCAGAATGTTCTTTCCCCACTGCCTTCCACAACATGGAAGGCAGGAACAATTACGATAACCTTGTTACAGTCTCAGTCTACATACTGAAATTCATTCCTCATTCATTATTAAACACCGAAAAAATATATAGTTTACAACAAAATTCTATGTAATATGCATAGTAATTTTATATTTACATAACACTTATGGGATCATTGAAACAGCAATGCTTGCCACATAAAACTATAATTCATTACTCTCACAATAAATTTTGAATGACACAACCATTTCAGTAAGCAAACCTAAAATACTGGTTTAATACATGTTTAATATTTCTAATGAACAATGTATGTTAAAAAGCGTATGTCATAAATATGAATAAAACATTCCAAAAACATAAGTGAATCATTATTTTGACATCAGCCGACTTTCATACATGATTCCTATGTTCCTTAACCGCTAGAAATGACTATGACAAGCATTGCCAGAGAAGATTTTTTTTGAGAATGAAGAGGGACAACAGTTCGGTTTAGCACAGTATATCGTACTTTTATCACGGTACACTAGTCCGAGGAGAAAATCATCTAGGAGGATATAAGAAGTGTTTGGCAACTTGAAACCTGAATCAGTACATGAGAAGTTCTATGCAAGAATATTTGCGCAAAATTGAGGCAAATGACAGTGAGCTGTTGTGAGCAAGGACCCAAAACACAACAGCGAATTGAGGCACATTGCTATTTGCTGCTGCAACTGTCAGTCACTGACACCATCGTCATCACTGGCATGGCCACTGCTATCCCAAAAAGTACATGAAAGCATTGAGCATGACCATCAGCAACATAAAAAGCAACCAGCAATCATAAATATAATATGTACACCTAGTAAAGGAGATTCAATAAGAACAATATCACTGACTGTCAGGATTTGTATGCTTACAAAGAGAAACAGTCTTAAACAAAAAGGAAATAAATACACTCATATTCATCAAGCACACTCAAGATATTGGATAAATATTTACATAATAAATGCAAATAATGTATTACATAATTTATAAATAGTACATGATCAATTTAAGCATAATTAGTGTTATATAAAATTAATTATTTTTGAAAATTTCAAAAGAGTTTAGTTTGAAGTACATCCATGAAATTATGACACAATTTTTTTTTGTAATAACACAAAAGTTTTAGTTTATCAGAAATATTGGCCTTTGTTCTTATGACATGATAATTTAAGACTTTTTTTTTTTTCCAAATATCAACTGAAGGAACAAAATTCAATTGAATGATTGAAAATATTTCATTGAAATGAAAATTTATTTTCTACAGAATTCAAAAACATGTATAAACTTAGAACACATAAGGAGGAATGTAATATTTCTTCATAATGAGAGATCACAAAGAGTAAAATTCATATGAGTTTCACTTGAAATCTCCAGCACTAAAAGCTTATAATAAGAAAATCATAAAGGCAAACAATATAACTGTTAATTTACAAAGCAAGAAAATTTTCATCTGTTGATTACATAATACATATTTCCCTCACACTGGTCAATCACAACAAACATGGCCACATTCACAACATCATACATCAGTCTAGCCATGTTCACACCAGTCTTGCTGACATTTGCCTGAAGTGAACTACGAAGGGTAAGTAATTTAATGATTCAGCAATTGGACCCTTAAAATTTCAGAAACATTAGGTCTGTTCCATTTGCAGTCTACATTTTTAATTCTGCCCTCCACTTAAACACCACGATGTTTAGCAGTTCCTACACAAATTGAAGGATATTAGGCCTGTAGTCCCTATTGAAAGAATAAACAGAACTTTAGTGAAAAACAAAGAAACCATTAAAGATTATAAATAAATAAATTGTACAATTATAACACGAAAAGTTAAGGAAAGGCCAGAGAACCGTTATTCACAAGCATCATTAAAATATGGAACACTGCAATTGGAACACTCTGCTCACTACAATTTTCTATTCTAGATATCACGTTGCCTTAAACTGCTTCACAAAGGGTGGGGAACGAGCAAAGCAGAATTATGAGTAACTGCCCATAGTATCAGACCATTCACGTCTGAACATATCATGCTACAAGGCCAGCAGAAGAGAAAATAGTGTGACAGAATAGTCACACAATACAAAAGAATGAAAGCCTGAGAAAATTAAAGCAAATTGCCTTGTGCAGGCTGGAGTTATAATAATCTCAAAACACAGTAGTAAGTACTCAAAACAGTTTTCACATCCAAGATGCTCTAGCTGAGTCCCCACATCCTTGAAGAAAAAAGTCTCTCTTTTGTAATCAAAGTTCTTAAGTACATGCTGATTTCAATAAGCGTATCTTTAAGTTGTTTTTATTATTATGGGGAGTTATTTTCTTTCAATAATGTCACTAGCCTTCCCACACCCTATCAAGAACTTTAGGAAAAAGAGATTATATTCACATTACTGAGAAGAAAAATATCAACTTTTTTCCGTTATCATTCACTTTTGACTTCTATACCAATCTACTACACCTGGGCCTTAGGTCAGTCTTTCTGCCCTGCATGTAATATTTAAACATTTTTTATTCTGTTCTACCCTATCAAAGAACACTGCTAAATTACAGAGGCTACCATTCAAATAAAGAAATGGGGACTGGACATGGGAAAAGTTTATGAAAGTGGTTCTCTTTCTTTGCCCTTAAAGCAATTTGACAGTTTGAGCACTACACTTCGTTCCTCATAATAACACAAGTGTGGATAAGCCTAGCATTCACAGATCTATCATGAGAAATTGGTTGCCAAATGTTTTAGTTTTGGAAGGAGTAAAGAGGATGGCAAACGTGAACACAGAGGGCAGCAACACTGACCACTGGGAGGTATGAGCCAGACTCAAGGCACTTGTAGAGTATGCCAGCTGCCAAGCCAGCACATACACACGCACACACATACACTGCACATCAAGGACAGCAACAAGTGGTATGAGCCCATTCAGCTTTCTTGGGGCACTACCAAACGAAGGCTTTGGTTTACTTATCCAGACTGGAGGATTAAGAATGATGTGATTTAAAGAGGCTCAACTATCTCAAAGTACATTTTTTTTAACTTGGCTCAAGATTTACACTTTGATCTGTACAAAGCTGCCTCAATATGGTTGCATTGTAAACTATAATTGAAACTCATAAATCTTCAATCATAGCGTTCTTAGTATACCACATAAATAACGAATTTAAATCTAGTGTGCACATGTTACGTTCTTATATGTAATCAAAAATATCATGAGTTTCCTAAAAGTATCAAAAAAGGAAAAGAATTTGGTACAATAGCAGAAGGAAAAACTGATCAGATAAATTTATTCACTGTCCCACACCACCTCCTGTCCACACTTCTTCGCGAATGGATCAATAGCATTAACAGCAAGGCAGCTGTGCTTGGAAACATATTCGTACGACACTCTCCCCTCCCCTCCCCTCCCCCGCCCAGAATCATGCAAACGCGCTTTCCGAAGCTACGGCACGGGCGCTTCGATGCAACTGAACACAGAGCCATTTTCGACTGTCTTCTCCGGCCGGCAGGAAGCTACGACACCTGTTGCGCTGACGTTCTCGTCTGCCCCGCTTGGCCAATCCCGACAGTCGCTCACCCGACGGCCGGCATCAGCCCTCGCGAGGACCCTACGGCGCTTTGGGTTCCGGGGGGGAAGCGGTGGTGATGGTGGTGGCGATGGTGGTGGTGGTGGTGGTGGCTCCGGTCGCCCGAGTAATCCTCCGTGAGGCCGTGTGGGTGAGCAGTGGAGAAAGCGCCGGCGACGTGGGTGGTGTCGGTAGGCGACAGCGCTGCGCTCTGGCGTCCGGCGCCGCGGCGACCGGGGCGCGCTAGGACCGTCCCCTCTGCACGTAGTCCCACAGTTTGTAGAGATCGTTCTGCACAAAAGATAAACAAAAATGTTACTTCACAAGAAGTGCATTAGAAGTTAAACAAGATTGACAAAAAACAGTAGGTATCATGTGCTGCAAGCGCACGTTGTACATGAATATGTTACTGATGTAATCGCAGTGGCGGATCGAAGGGGGGCACGCCACTCCAAAAAAGGCATAGAGAAAAAAATGTAAAAGTGCATAAAGAATAAAATGAGAAACACAAGAAAAAATTGTAGAAACGTCTATAATATAACGATAAAGTAACCGAACGTTCTGTTCTTAGCCTTTTAGTTACGAATAAAAATCCTGATTCTCCCTGTATTTTAGCCGAGTGGCACGTATGGAAACTGTTTTCGACTGTTCTCCAGAGGCTTGTGACAGCTCGTACTCCGCTTGACAAGCGCTGCAAAGGCGACTTCCACGTTGACTTCTACGTTTTGGTCTGTGGCCGAAGCAACCGGAAACAGTGTTGACGGAGTAAGGCCTCTCTCTAGGCGCCAAGTGAGTGATCGTGGGCCGCTGGTACGTGTGCATTTAGCAATCTCCCTACCAAAAGTTTAAAGGAAAATCTTTGAGCCGTATTTGAGAAAATATTGTTCATGTAATTTTTAAAAATTGCACGTATTGCACGCAATATTTACTAACATTTAAAAAAAATGCACATGAACTTAATGAAAGAACTAGTTATAGACAACAAATTTCATTTGAAGGAAAAATCTCTATCATCAATTTTGTAGTTATAGGAAGTCTCCGAAAAACTTCGAACTTGTGTAATTAAACTTGTGTAATTATCGAAAATCGGACCTATGACACCTTTACTATTTTACTCTTTTCTTACAAGAAATTTAAAGAAAAAAATTGGAGTCTTTTTGAGAAAATTTTGAAATTTTCCCTGTGACTTCATGTAAAATGCCCCCAAAAATAATGAACATTTTTCAAAATCGCAGAGCTTCGACTCCGGCAAGACTGGCAGGGGTTTCTTCAAAATGGGAAAACTCCCGGATGGACAGACGGACGTTTTTCCATCAATCGATTTTTCGCTATCAAGGACCCAAAAACATGGATTCTGGCTACACTATGTGTTAGAAGATTTTTTCTAAATTTAGCAACGGAATTTATCTACTTTTTCGTTATTAGGACCCGGCAATGAGATTTTTTCAGTCGGAAATTCACAATTTTTTAGCAAAGCACTTCCTCTTTACTGTTTAAGCGGTAGCGAGAAAGTAATAGTAATGATTCGTTATTAAAATCCTTGAATTCAAAGCTGCAAAACGACGAAGGATTAGGATACAAAAATTTCCCTATTTTAATACAGATGTGAACAGATTAAATTTAAATAAAATCATATGATTTCGCTTTACAAATTTAACATTAGTTTACATACAAACATTAATGTCCAGGACTGAAGAAATTCGACAGGATTGCACAAAATGTCTCAAGCCTCTTCTACTTATCCTTTTTATTAGATTTCTTACTCTTTTCTTCTTCATTTTAAATATTTTCTTTCTCTTCTTGAGTGTTTATTACCGTCCGGGGCGGGTCCGCCCGATCTTTTTGTAGGGGCCATCGTAGATTTTTCTTAAATAATAAAAAATTGCTATTATATTTTATATTATATTTTGGTTTATGTATAATACTATGCAATATTATGTGTTAAAATAATAACATATAAATAATTATTTAAAGTAATTTTTCAAACTAAAAGAAGGCAACAAACGAAAACTCTAGGCATTGGGGGATCCCCCACTGACACCCGCATTTCCAGGCGCATGCACGCGATCCATGCCACATTCTTGTTTCGGGCACACTGTAATTGCGCGAAATGTCACTTGGCACACATGCCCACGATCACTTACTTGGCACCTAGAGAGAGACCTCACTCTGCCCACACTTTCTGCAGTAAACCTTCAAACGTGTCTGGCCTCGGCCACGTCCGAACACAATCATGCGGACAGGAAACAAAACGAGACGCAGGCTTGCCACTCCGAAATGACAGCTGAAATGTCAGACGGCCCACGGGATATACACTGTCGCGCAGCAAGGGTAGGGAAGGAGTCCAGTACTTTCTGAGAACGAGAGCTAACATGAGAATACCTGCATATAAGTTCCTGTGCTCGGCCAGACTGAACGCCTCTCCGGCCCTTTAGCCACAGCCCTGCCATAGCCACAGCAACAGCCCTGGCGCACAGTCTTAACTTTGGCTGCAGAAAATGGGTGCACCAAAACAGCCACCAGGCCACGTGGCCAAACGGCCACGGTGCAGTAGAAACCATTGCACACGTGATCACGGGGTGGAGCGGCAACAGCGTCAAAATACTACAAGGCGACTGCTGTGGCGAGTGGTTGGCAGGTTCTCCGTGAGAACCAGACAGTAGTTGGTTCAAATCACGCAAACCTGGTGCTGGCGCGGGGACAGACAGCTCTGATAGTGGATGAGGCAGTCACGGCCGCAGCCGAGGGCAAAATTGCGCAAAAAAACATGCGGAGAAGAGGGATAAGTAGAACCCTGAATGCGCGTCCGCGCTCTTCGCGGGCTACACCAGACCTGAGACATCACCTCCGGCGGTTGGAGCCTTGGGAGATAGGAGCAAAGGGGGCGAGGCGGCGATCAGGGTAGTCGCTGAGACTTCTCCGAGAAAGAAAGAAAAAATCATTGCCGAGGCCATCTCCGGGAGAGCCGCGGGCATATCAACAGAGCTGGGCTGTGCTGGCTTTGCGTGAATACCTCCCCGCAGTACGTCGAATGCAAAGTGGTGCAGCGCCCACAGCTGCCCAAACACACGTCCACAACCGCCCCATTCCCATTTGGTTTGGAATGCCATGAACACACTCGTGTGAGCGGAGTGAAGTGCACTGGTGGTGGGACGTGTCGCGTCATCACGTGTGCCGCACAAAGAATAAAATAAATGTGAAAGTGAAAGGAGAGTGCTAGAGAGTCCATGCCTCCAACAGTAGCGCCAGCATCCAACAGTGCTCTCAAGATTTTCTGTCATGTATGTTGTAGCGTTTAGTGTTACCTCGAAATTCTATTACATGATAGACAGCAGACAAGTAGTGAAAATGAAGGATATATAGAGTTTAGAATTGATTTTAAGATGTGGTATACCCCAAAGGTAGATCCTGGGACCAATATTATTTATTTTGAATGTAAATGATATTTACAATATTTTGCCAAAAGGTGGAATTGTCATTTACTGATGACATGAATTAAATTGTTATAGGTGGTACTTGAGATAAGGTGTGCTGAAAACAAAGAGAGAGAAATTGTAAAGAAGAAGCTGAATAAAAAAGTGTTGGAGTTTTAATATTGATGGAACTGTGAACATCTCTTTTAGTAGCTACAATGATAGGTAGTCTTCCTGTAAGAGGTATTTTATTTTTCTACAAGACTCGAACACAGATCCTCGGAGTTAACGTGCTGGCACTCATACCACTACGCCACAGAAGCGCCGCATGGTATGAACTCAGGCGAAAGCATAAAAAGGTGAATGCCCGATTCATGTTAAAAAGAACGTCAACAACCGACGACGGCGATGGTGTGACGGTTAGCGTACCGGACTGTTATACCCAAGCTCGCGGGTTCAAACCCGATCGAAGCCGTGGATTTAGGGCGACAAAATCCTTCGTACGCCTTCCTTCGGAGGGTAAGTAAAGCCGGCTGTCCCATGTTAGTAGATTTACTTGTATGTAAAAGATCCTCAAGCCTAAATGACGCCTCTGAGCTAAATTCAAAATCACCTGTTTCTCGCCCAAGAAATACCTCCTTTCTCTGCTAAATGAAAGGAGCGTAGCGAAATTTGCGTTGTCAGACGGAAGAGCGGGCCTGATAGCCCGAGTCTCGCCACGTGAAATAAGGCAAATTCAATTCAACAATCAAAACATCCGTTAGAAACTCCCAAAGCCTCCAGTCCGTTCAGATCAATCAGAGAATATCAATTTTGAGGAAAAACAGATGAACGGTTTAAGCGCTAGCGGTGACCACAGACGGACAGTCAGATTACAAACAGACGGACGTTTTGCCTTCAAACGATTTTTCGCAATCAAGAACCAACAAAACATGGATTCTGGCTACACCACGAATTAGAGGATTTTTTTAAAACTTAGCAACAGGATTTATTCACTTTTTCGTTACCAAAACCCGGCAATAAGGTTTTTTTTGGCGATAGTTCGACATTTTTTGGCGCACATGGCGCACATTTTGGCATTTCATAACTTTTTCTCCTCATGAAGGAGAGAAGGCGTAATGGCGTAAAGGCTTCTTCGTAAGGTGAGAAAGTGAAAACAAACAAGATAATTATCATTTCAAAGCATCATTAAGAATTAAGTTACTGATGACTCGATGTAATTTGCAATAGATCATTTAATATAAGCGACTATTTAAAAATTGTCAATTTTGAGAAACCAGACAATAAAATACTAAGAAAATTATTGATAAGGAAAAACAAACTACTTATAAGAAATTCAGTCCGTTTAAATTGAGATAAAGAAATAATCTAGTTAAAATATAAAATTTATAAATTTCGATTTGCTTCAAAAACTTAAAATTTTATACATTTTGCCAATCCTTAACGAAAAATTACGCGAAAACTACAAATGTTTTCGAAACATTGAACATCACCATATATTATAAAGGAAATATCATGCGCGGTCCACGGTCCATTTGTTAAGATACTGCTCCAGTATTTGCCTCAAATTGATATGAGAAAAACCGGAAAACTACCGATCAGAACAGCCGGTTATGTAGCGGCTGAATTCGACGTTGCTCTATGGCTACGGTGGAAAATCATCAACCTTTGTGCCTGGAACCTTGGGACTTCGCGGTCAGATTCCTTTAAGCGCAACAGCTGCTTCCCTACATCATCGACGGCAGCCTGTCAGATGCTAAAGAGCGTGTAAATGGGGATAGTGGATGACCGATGCGGGATGTGCGATATGAGGATGGATGAAGGACAGGGTGATGTTTATGAGTGATTTGCATGGATATGGATGGACGATAGGCGATGCGCATGGGTTTGTATATGGTTTGTATATGGTGGGCGGGGCGGGGCGTACCTGGGGCGTGGGGATTGTGTGTGAGGGAAGGTCGTATCTTAAGCGTGGTGATTGGGGGCGGAGAGGGGGCGGGGCGGGGGCGGGGGCGGGGCGTACCTTGGCATGGATATTTGGGTGACGAGGGCGGGGTCGTACACCTGTGCAATGGAGATGGTGGGGGAGGGTGACGCGGGCGGGGCGTATCATAAGCTACATAACGCAGATGGGGCTTGTGTGTGAGGGAGGGTTTGAATCTTATGCATGGTCAATGGGCGGCGCAGCTTGGCGTACTGACATGGGGATTGTGGTGGGTGAGGGACGATCGTACTAATGCGCGGTGAATGGAGGCGGGAGCCTGATGTACCTCAGCTTGGAGATTTGTGGTCTAAAGCGGTCGTTCATTGTGCATGGAGTTTGGGTTCGACGGGGATGCGGGCGTACCTGGTGCATGCAGATGTGGGATGAGGGAGGCTCGTATATAGCTATGGTGCAATTGGGGGGGGGGGGTTGGGCCGTACCTTGAAGGATACTTTGGTTGGACGAGGGCCGGGTCGCACATTGTGAGAGTCTTGGGTGGGCGGGGTGGGGGCGTACCTTGAGGCAGGCGCTTGTGTGTGTGACCGGAGGGTCGAACCTTATGCATGGAGATGGGGTGGGGGCGTACCTTGAGCATGTGGATTATGTGTGTGAGGGAGGGTCGTATCTCGTGAATGGAGTTCGGGTGGGCGGGGCGTACCTTGAGCATGTCGGGCGATCCGAAGAGGAAGTGCGCGGCGTAGGGCGGCGGGTCGGCCCCGGGGGCCGCGTCCACCAGCGCCTGCATCTGCAGCTGCGTCAGCGCCAGCGACCCCAGCGGCGTCTGCGACAGGTTGACGCGCGCCGCCAGCGTGCCCGTCACGTGCACGTCGTCGATCCAGAAGTAGGGAACGCGCTGCGCCTCGCGGTACAGCAGGAACACGGCGTCGGGCGAGTACAGCACCGCCCAGCCCGCGCAGTACCGCGGGTACAGCCGCCCGGGGTACTCCTTCGGCGACACGCGCCACCTGGGGAAGCGGCAGGCGCCCTACGTTAGACGCGATCAACGACTCTCTACAAGTAACACCACAACTATTACTACTACCACCACCACCACCTTCACCACCACCAATATTTCAAGTTTTATTAAATGTTCAAAATCATGTAATATGTTTCAAAGTTATTAATATAAAATGTTAAACATTTTTTCGAACATAAATTTCTGCATTAAACATGCAAATCTTTTGAAATTATCTAGGAGCGTTATGATTCGGAGACCTTCGTTATGGGGATAAGCCTTCTACACATGCGTCCATTACACTACTACTGCCACATCCGCCCGTTATAGACAACCAGCGGCGCCAGGCATGTCTTTTACCAGTCTTCAACCCGCTCGAATATCTTATGCGGTTTTGCTTTTGAACTGCTCGGATTTTACTCCGGAAAATAGAATTCCGTCAGTCAAGGAGAGATCGTATCAAGGAGACACTTGATGATTTGCTTCTTTTGAAAAATGTTATTGCCACGACTGGAATTGCTGATGGTTACCAACGAGAGGAATTGTATTCCATGCCAAAAAATGATGTCGAATATTGAGGTACATAGTTAATTGTGAACATAAAATAAATTAGAAGCGTTTTTATAAAATATCTAGGTTCGTAAGGTGGTATGAGATTACAGAACAATATACCGTAAACTCCCACCTTCCGGCCTGCTTGAGGAACGGAAAAACCGAAACACGACATTATACGAAATATATGTTTTTCCGTCGAAAAACGCATTTTCACCTCCGTAATATTAAGATAGGTTGCTGCGAGTAGTATTTCGTGGGTAGTAGACAAGAAAGTAAATACGAAGCGTCAACGAACGAAGATTTCTGTTCAAGACATTCGATACAATTGAATGAGAGGTAAAAAACATACCCTACATTACAGGTATTATTCACATAATTTTCAGATTGAAAATGTCTTCAAGAAGTTTTGGGATAGATTGAAACCTTTGTCATACTAATTAATGAGACTGATGTTGTCTAGACATCTAATTATTACTTTGCCGTAACATACGTATATACGGAGTAATACGCAGGGAAAGGTATGTAATGCTGCGGAAAATCGATTTCGATATTTCAATGAAAATACACGTTTTGGTATCCCCTGATACCCGAAAAGATTTTCCCCCTTTCGTTCTTCCTTTTTTTTCTTTCTTTCTTTTTTTTCTTCAAAACGTCCGTCTTTGAATAAACCGCGACTAAGCGTAGCGACTAAATCGTACGTACCATTTTTTCCAAATTGAAGAAACCCCTGTCGATCTGCCTCGAGTCGACGCCTTGAGATTTTGAAAAACATTCTTTAGAATTTGGGGGTACTTTACATAAAGCCCCCCAAAAATTTTCAAAATTTTCTCAAAAACGGCTCCAATCTTTTTCTTAAAATTTCTAGTAAGGATAGAGTAAAATACACTTGTAAAGGTGGCATAAGCCCGATTTTCATAGTTAACTCTGAATTTTCGACAATTTCAAAACTTTGAATTATATCCTTCGCCTTCCTATAACTACCGAATTAAATATGGAGATTTTTTGTTCAAATGGAATTTGTTGTTCATGATCAGGTTCTTTCAATAAGAAAACTTTGAAAATTACATGTCAGGTACATGTTTTCTGTTAAAGAAATCCAGCTCAGACGATTATCGCTGCGCGATCGAAAAGTACAAATGTGTTTAAATAATTAGATATCTAGAAAATATCAATTCATTAATCGGACGTGTATTTTATTTAAGAATGTAGCCGAGTTACCGATATTTTCGCCTCTCTCTTATTCTCTTTTTCGCAGAAAGTAACGCCGCTGCGCGTTATTGATGTTTCTCGGCACGTCAACCGCGAGACTCATTAGGCCTGATGTAGTGCATGTATGAATCATGGGAGGTGGAGGTGATTCCTTCCCCGCTGAAGGCGAGATCCGGCGCCAGCGTTCATATCTGCTTGAGGATTTCCTCCTCTAGATATCTCTCCTAGTGGTGACACCGACCCCGTTCAGAGAAGCTCTGAGCTCTCGACTGGTACCCCAACATGAATAATAGTGAAGTGCATGTGAGAGAGAAAGAGAGAGAAAGAAAGAGAGAGAGAGAGAAAGAGAATTAGAGAGAGAGATTGTGTGTGTGTGTGTGTGTGTGTGTGTGTGTGTGTGGAGAGGATAGGACAAGAAAGAGGAAGGAAAGATCGCGGGCGACCGTGGTCTTTTGTTAGGGTGCTGCTCCAACATTCGCCGGAAACCGTAATGAGGGAGTCTCCGAGGCCATCGCACACGCGTGGGTTACCAGCCGTACTCACTTTGAGCGCCAGGAGCGCTTGACGTAGCCGTACGGGAAGGGCACGCAGAGGATGAGGCGGCGAGCGCCCCAGGGCGACAGCTCGCGCGCCAGGAAGCGCAGTAGCTCGGGCGAGTTGACGAAGACGTCGTCGTCCGTCTTGAGCAGGTAGCGCGCGCCAGGGCAGCGGTACGCCGCCCACTTGAGCGCCATCACGTGCTTGTACGTCATGTTGCGGTACGAGTCGCGGAAGGAGCCCTGCGGCACACCACCAAAAAAAAAGTCACTCACTGGTAAAAGCAATTGGATAGCCTTTCAAAAAATTGTGTTTATTATTCCAATCTTCGGTTGGATCTTTTCAACTAGTGTCCTACTTAGATATTTATTATAAAATCTACTCTAAATCAACAAAAAAATATTTCTTTTGTTACGCTGTTATTCTATTTTTTAACTGTCATGGCCTCGTAACAGTTACTTTGGTGTTATGTTTATTATTAGACTATTAGCATACAGATCACCAGATGAGAAACCCAAACCAAGGGTTGAAACGTCGCTGAGTGAAAATAACAAAGCATTATTGAATTGTTCATGTTTCTATATATTAACGTTTTCTTGCTCCACGTCCTCAGATCGGTTTAGAATTAGGGTGCAGTACCAAGTTTCAGAACTCGGATATGGACAGTATGAAAACGGACTACCGAGAGATTGAAATTTAAACAGTATTAAACATTGCGTTATCTTTCGTGGGTTTTGCTAATTTTCTTTAGCTTCTTTTTTTCTAGACTTTTGAGCGTAACGATCAATATGGTATATTATCCATGAATCAGTCCTCCGTGTTAGGCAATCCCCAAACCCAAAGGCTACACATCCAAGTATACTGTAAAACAAGAATGATGTGTTTAAAATATTGCACATTTTCCTGTGTTCATTCCAGCATAAATTTCATCTCTAATGGCATGGCTAATTATTATACAAATAAGTTAAAATTTCAAATATCTGTACAAATCTAAGAGTGTGGAATTCAAAAATAATTTTAATTTTCTAAAAGCCACGGAGAAGAGCAGGATCATGAAACAATTATGGTGCAACATAATAAAAATCATCATGTCATGATATACGACGTGCCACAAACGAAAATAACGCAAAATGTAACGCAAAATTGATTTCACCAATACTTGAAAATATTTTAGAATAATTACTAAAAACTATAACAGACCAAATTAACCATCTTCACAGTAAGTAAACTGAAGGGAAGGTCGCTACGTATAGCTGAAAAGCGTATTAGAAGCGCACGTAGAATTTAACGAAGTCGAGACGTTTATGCCTGCGCACATGCCAAAAAATAACGCAGCTGAAATAAAAATAAAGAAGCTGAATGAGATATTCCCAGGACCTCCGCTTCGAAGCACACGCGTTTACGGCACGAAAGCACAGAGGCGGCAAAGTGACCTGAGGGCAACTGAAGGGAGAGCGATAACGCGAAGCAACTGCTTAAAGTCCTTCCCGATAGCTCCAGCGCTGCCCGTGAGCCAGGGCGGAAGCGCAGGCAGAGGTACGGTCGATGGCGACGCCTACCCGCACAAAGTCGGCATACGCGGAATGGGGAGGGGGGAGGGGGCCAACTGGGTCATCCCGACCCATAAATCCTCCGGGCGAAACGCTCAGTCTCCTGCCGCTTGAACCGCTTACCTTACTACCTCGCTTCGCTTTGTCCCGCTCTGTCCAACCCCGACTACTCATCCTCCACCCTTCGCCATACATCCTACCTCGCCCCGGCGAAATCCCATGACCTTGCATTATTTCGTCCT